CACCAGCCACAACGCCCGGCTATTTTTTGGTTGCAGCCATCATTGTTGTTTGGCAGGCCCGGGCTGGATACGAACCCGCCAGCTCAGGTGTACGTGGCTGGCACCTTAGCCACTTGAGCCACAGGCGCCAAGCCAATATTAAACCTTTATATTTCGAACAACACAGTCAATCTGGCAAATTGGCAAAACTACCAGTTGTCTAGAAAGAAATTAGTTGAGGGTCCTTTAATCAATTTATTTATTTGTTTAATTTTTTAATTTAAAATAATTTAAAAATTTTTGGAGACATAGTCTCATTCTGTTGTGCAAACTAAAAGTGTCATGGTGGGCAGCGCCTGTAGCTCAAGGACTAGGGCACCAGCCCCATATGCCAGAGGTGGCGGGTTCAAACCCAGCCCTGGCCAAAAAAAACCAAAAAACTGCAACAAAAATAAAGTGTCATCGTGTCAGTTAAGCTGATAGCAGCCTCAAACTCCTGGGTTCAAGTGATCCTCCTGCCTCAGCCTCCTGAGTAGCTGGGCCTGTTGGCACCTACCACTTGGCCAGCTCATTTTTTTTCTTTTTCTTTTCTTTCTCTCTCTCTCTTTTTTTTTTTTTGAGACAGAGTCTCACTTTGTTGCCCTTGGTAGAGTTCTGTGGTATAACAGTTCACAGCAACCTCAAACTGGTCTCAAACTCCTGCATTCAAGTGATCTGGTGTGAGCCATCACACTCAGCCTAAAATCTTTTAGTTTTAATCAAATTGATATACATAGTATAAGATATATATATACGCATATGGTACTGGATGGTTGCTAGTTGATCAGCTTAACTGTTAGGTTTTTTCTAATTAGAAGTATATGGTTAAATATCATGGATTTCATCCTTCCCTCCCTCTTCTTTTTAAAACTAATCCAGGAACTAGCTGAATTACTGGAGGAAGAAAAGCTAAGTTGCGTGCCTGTGCTCATCTTTGCTAATAAGCAGGATTTGCTCACGGCAGCCCCTGCCTCTGAAATTGCAGAAGGACTAAACCTGCATACCATCCGTGACCGGATTTGGCAGATCCAGTCTTGCTCAGCTCTCACAGGAGAGGGCGTTCAGGTGAGCTTACAGGAAGACTTGGTCACTTGGCAACATGGCAGCTTACCAAGGTGGTCTGCCTTATTGGTTGGGCTGATCTAGATAGAAAAAGTTATGAAATAAATGGCCTTGGATTAGCAGATGAAATTCCAAGACGAGGGAGCATGGGAGAGTTTGGTTCTTTTCTACTTAGCCACCAATCAGATATTATGACGTGTTTCAAAAGAACCACAGGCTCGGCTCGGCGCCTATAGCTCA